CTATTTTTAACTAAAAAAATTGGGCAGTTACAATCACTCCTTAATGTTGTTATTACTGTTAAGAACTCAACTCTTAATGGTTATACAACTACTACGAAACGCCACATATTGATCTTCAACACCACAATGGTTATGTGTGGACTTATGGGCCATAGTGATTAAATTGAATTGAGTATCATCCTATAACATATAAAGCCATAACATTAATGCAAACACTCATAAAGCAATATTATGATTACTCATTTGTCCTAAATCTCCTTATTTGGTTGGCTGAAGTCATAGTCACTCAATTTCTTTGGCGCTGACCTATTCCTACTCCTTGAAGTATGTTTGCACTTAAGAAATTCTACGACATTGGGTTGCATTTAGGGTTATCAGTCTAACCAACTCGAACTTTTGGATTAGTCCAAAAAATTTACTCAGCCCAATTCATATACCCGAGGATCAAAGAATAATCATTGTAGCCAACCATAGAAAAGCTAAAGTTATACTCTTTCCGATTGAAAAGAAGGGTAGATAAATGTTTGAGATTCTTGTAGGTTTGGATAATAGTTGGACCCAAACCAGCAAAACATAGATGAGCTATTGAGTATCATTCAAAAGCAAATGGTCTTTGTGCCCTCACAACCCTTTGCATCTCCCTCCTCCCTAGTTGTGGTCGCCATTATTGTAATCCATTGATTCAAAGGATTATTTGTAATCCTTCTTTTGTTCATGAATCTAGGAAGATCGGTCAACATATCTTTTGGAGAAAAAGCTCATTCGTTCTAGATAGCTTACATCTATAGCAATGGGACACATGAGTATTCATTCATGTTATTATGGCTATGGCCTATAAGTCCTCGCATACCCATAGTGTAAATATAATTCAATTTAAAATTCGGATTTGATATCTTATGGTCTCGACATTCCTTGTGATATGGTCACGTTGCTTATTCCTCGCGTCTAAGAGTGAAAACTATCCCCATATGGAGACCCATGATCATTTTCTAAATTAGCCGACGTGGGACTTTCATTCAACACCTCTACAAAGTACGCCATTTGAGGATTCTACTAACATGACTAAGTTTAGAGCATGACTCTAATACCATGTTATATGAACACGACTCTCCACAATGATATGAGATTGTCCACTTTGAACATCAACTCTCATAACTTTGCTTTCGGCTTCCCCAAAAGGCCTCATACCAATGGAGATAATATTATTTGATTATAAACCCATGATCATTCCTTAAATTAGTGGATGTGAGACTTTCATCCAACAGTATTAACCCTAGGACAGACAAAGTATAGAAAAACAGTCCTCAACTTTCAAATCCGATTTGTTCAGGACATTTTTTTAAAGTAATGAGTCGAACGAGTCCAATCAACTTAAATCGAACCCTAAGTTAATTGAAATGTTAATTAAATTCTTGAACATATGCGACATTTTTGTATTTATGACTGTACGGCTTGCAATTCAGAATTATTGGCCATCCATAAATCCTCAACCATACACAATAAATACTCTCCTCTTCTCCAATTAATGTACATTTTCTTATGCAACCATTTAATTCATATTTATATTTTACTTTATCAACTTTTTATGGTGTGAGAGTTAATATGTGAAGCTACAAGTTCCAATATCAAACCTTTAGTCAATAATATATTTTTTTAAAAAAAACTTTTCAAAGTTTTAATAATAAATTTAAATCTTAATAAAAACTATCTATCATTAAATTTTACAAAAATTTCGAAACTAACTTTACTAACAAAATGAAAATATGCTTGAACTTAATCTTTTTGAAAACTTTAAAAAAAAAAAAATCCTTTGAACATTTAAAAAAAAGTTAAAAAATATATGTGAGTGAAGACAAAACATTCTAAAAGGACTTGTATTGGTATATGGTGATAGTTTTTCCTCTTAAAAGGTAACCATGTCGCTCGAGATGTTGAGATGATGAAATGTCGAATCCAAACATCAAATCTTAATCTAAATCCAAACATCAATCTAGTACGTTTATAGCTGACAATATTCAATAAATTCTAAGACAAGCTCAACCGAACATCTTCCAAAAATTATTGTGTACAATTATTAAAGTAACAATAATGAAGAAAAAAAAATGAAAGGTGGCATATGAGATTCAAATAATGAAGAAATGATGTTGGAGTGGAGAATTGTAGCAGAAAAAGTTTGGCAACACTAATAAACCATACATTGATCACTATGGTAGATCGTTCCACTACTACGAACTCGATACGCCACACTTGATCTTCGACACCATAATGGATATGCATGGACTTTTCGACCATAGTGATTAAATTGAATTAGGTATCATCTTAAAACATTTATAGCCATAACAATATTAATCCAAACTATGAAAAGCATGTTCCCACATTTATTATTTGAAACCAATTACCTCATACTTACCCACGACACATAATGGTTGCTTTTGACATTTAAATTAGGGTTGCAGGTCGGTTGCATTATCTAATCTTTCCAATTTCATATTCATGTCTAGTACGTCTCTAAATTTTTGAATTTATTTCTAGTAGATCTTTCAAATGTAAGATCATAGATATGTTTAAACCAATTTATTATAAGCAAAGTGGCTTAAACAAAGACCTTTTCGAGAAGATTGTTTCTATTTTTTGTCTATCTCGAGGCACTCGTGTTCTCCTTCTCCAGCGGAGAACAAAGGCAACGATTTCTCTAATTTGGGTCAATCATTAGTTGAGTAATAGAACAAAGTCATGAGAGCTTATGCTCAAAGTGGACAATATCATAACATTGTAGAGAGTCGTGTTCGTCTAACAACCTGCACCTCAACCAGCTTCTAGCCGTCTCGCTCCTCCAGCCGATGCAACTGCAATCGAATGTACACACGGCTCGGCCGCACCGTCTCCTCGTGTGCGGTTTAGCCCAACTGACTCCCTCTAGCGTGTGACTCTGGTTCAGCTTGATGAGTTCTTTCAGCTCCAGCTTGGCTTAAGTGGCTCATTCGAATCGGGTTTGGGTTTTCAGACACTCTCTTCCCATTTTTGATTGTCCTAGAAGCGTTTTTAATGTATTTGGGACATTTAATGCGAGTATTGACACTATTTAGCAAATTTGAGTTATTTTGAGATAAAAAATCATGATTAATTGATGTTATCAAGTGAATTAAGTCCTCTACTATGTTCTAAATACAATGTCGTGTGAGTTCTTAGGTGCAAAAGGACTTCAAGGAGTAGGAACAGGCTAGCGTTAAGGAGATTTAATGACTACGACTTAAGCCAACCAAATAAGTGATTCTACTATTAGACGCCCACGAGCTTGGTTAGATTACTTGTATGTTGTATGAATAACACGTACCTTGCAGCCCTTGTACGTGTCATATTTTTTTTTATGATGCTATAGTATGTTATATATGATATGAAATATGATGATTATCTTATGATATGAATTATGTTCTGATATGAATGTTACATGATGTATGTACTTTATGTCACGCTATGTATATTATGATAGCATGTCCAAACTATGTCTACGAGACATTAATAAGCCATGTACACGTTAACCATGATAGATATGTCGAGTATATGTATACATATCTCATAGGAATGTTATGTCATGAAAATGATGAAAGTATGATTTATATTACAAGTATGTACCATGATTTGAAACTATGGAATCACATGCATGTTGTATGTCTTGAACATTGAGATACTTCCCAGTACAATTAATACATACACGTACACCATGATGTGATACGCGTTCCTTTCTCTCTGTGGTTTCTAGCAACGTAAACGTGTGTTATCCCATAGTCTGGCCCAGGGGCTACGTATACGAGCCTGCTTGGTAGGTCATGTGCATTTACGTAGATCATGTGTAGACAAATATTACATATCCAACCTTCCCTAAACTAGAAAGTACAACCCAAAGAACAATTGATGAAAAGATTGGTCAAACCATGATTGCATGTGATTGTATTTCTGACCCCAACAGTGTAGCAACTTACTAAGTATTTTTAAATACTCAAGCCATGTTCGCTATTTCTTTCCAAGTAGAGGCAAAGACACTCCTGTACGGATAAGGGTACTGTTATCGATGCCATGAAAATAAAGTTAGAGTAATTGTATTTCTCATTTAAGTTGTAGCCTTTAGGTTAAATTAAGATGTGTACATTTGTGACACTCCAAAAATGAACCGATACCACATCCGAATGAGAGCGATCATGAGAATAGAATGACTAAGAAAAACTTAAAAGAATTGAATGTCATTACTTATACCAACAAGGTGCACCTCCTTTTTTGTGGCTCTATCGTAAGAATTTCATGGTTAACCGGAACATATTTCGGTTGATAATTTGACAACATGACTGAGCTTTAAGTATTTTTTTTTTTTTTTTTTTTTTACATGCACCTCCTTATGTCGCCAATGAATTTCTCTCTCGTTTCATTTTTCTCTCCCGCACCATTTTTTAGGGTAATTAATTTTTTTCAAACCAACAAAGCTCTCACCAATGCATGGGACACAGAAATTTTCTTCTGAGTATTTATGGCCATTCATTGAAATGTCCAATGACCACAAAAATTATGAAACACATTTATACCATAAACTCTGGCGGCTTTGTTTTGGACTCTACAAAAGAATTCGTACCAACGGATATGTATTCTCTCACTTATAAATTCATATCTTTCCTTAAATTAGCAAGGTGGAATTCCCTCTTGACAATCCTCAACCGGATGCTCGAAAAGATTGAATTGTGTCTAACCACCTCAACGGTTGTCCGATCAAGATTGAATTAACGTTCATGTTTCCATAAATATGAAAATATAAATAAAACGTCTCTATCAATTAAAACATATGAGGGGACAATTTTGCAGTCTCTCAACAACATTTCAACTTTTTTTTTCTTCTTTTAATTCATGAAGTAAATTTTGCAGCTACCACCTCGTCCAATAACTGTTCAATGTAAGAAACAATTAATCCCAAGGTTGAAATTCGCTATAAATTCATATGGCCGAGGGAGGTGGTGAAGCAGTCGCCAATGCATGAACCAAAGCCAATGGTGAACCCTCCAACCTCATTCATCAGGACAAAATGGACGAAGCTGGATCAATACATTTCCATTGCCCTTTTCATACTCCATTTTCTTTGTATTTTCGCACCCTTTTATTTCAATTGGCATGCATTTTGGGTTAGCTTTGCGTTGTACGTTATTACCGGTCTAAGCATCAGTGTTTCATATCATAGAAATCTTGCTCATAAAAGTTTCGAGCTTCCCAAACTGCTCGAATACTTCTTTGCTTATTGTGCAGCTCACGCACTTCAGGTTTGACTTGTGAATCCTTCTCTGTTTATTTCCATTAGAAATTTACTTATTTTTAAATTTTTTTTTTAGGGTGATCCAATCGATTGGGTGAGTACACATAGATGTCATCATCAATTTGTCGATACAGAAAGAGACCCACATAGCCCTATTCAAGGATTCTGGTTTAGTCATATTCTTTGGCTTTTTGATTCCTATACTTTGACCAAACGAGTTTGTCCGAAATATTTTACCGACTTTAAAAAGATTGAACGAAGTATCATTATATGGTTCTCGAAGCATGGGAGACCCGACAACGTTCGTGATTTGGAGAAGCAAGCCTTCTATAGGTTCATCCATAAGACATATCTTCTTCATCACGTTGCTTTTGCAGTCCTACTCTATGAAGTTGGAGGACTTCCATTCCTTATATGGGGCACGGTAATATATACTCTTCTTTGCTTGCAGCATTTTTTATAGATATGCATAAGATCCTCATATTCTACTTGCTTGAAGAGTATTAAGCCGTTTACTTGAAATTATACAGTGTGTGAGGACGGTAGTGGTCTTGCACATTACATTTATGGTGAACTCGGTATGTCATATATGGGGAAAACGACGATGGAATACTAAGGATTTATCGAGAAACAATTGGTAAGTGACTCTACCTCAAAGTTAAGATGATTTAATACTTGGATATACGCTATTCTTAGGTTTGAAACGCACAACAAGATATTGATATCTCCTAAATTTACTTTACAAATCAAATCTTCTAAACATACCCACAAATTAACTCTCTTGATTTTTCTAAATCGCTTATTGACTCACAGTTGGAGTCTTTGACTGCCGGACCAACTAATTGGTTAGCCAATTTGGTCTGCGATTCAGTTTTTTTATTTTGATACTACTTCTTCGTGCATGTCAAATTACTCTTATTAGATCTATTCGACAACGAATCCTTCATATATTTACATAATTAAATGGTATGTGATATTATCCACTTTAGATATAAGCACTCGTGATTTTGCTTTAAGGTCTCATCGAGCCTCACACTATATACATGTGGTTGTTCCCTTATCTAACCTGCAACTATGAGACTTTTGTAGTTTGTATTATAAGGTTATTCAACAATTTGATAAGTAGAAATATTCACAATAAGGGTGTACATTCAACCTGACAACCTGTACCAACCCAACCCGAATTATAAGGGTTGGGTTGGGTTGGATTAGCATTTTGGGTAGGGTTGGGTTCATTTTTCTGAACCCGAATTAAATCGGTTCGGTTTCGAGTTCGTGGGACAAAACTCTCGGGTTGACCTGAGCGACCCAATCCAATTAAAAATATATAAAGTATATTAAGAATCTTTCATTATTAATGGGTTTTCTAGAGTGGTACTTTGGCCAGTCTAGTGAGACCCACGCCCGGGATTAATAAAACTTTAAACAAAAATTGACAATTCGACCCGAAAATAGAGGGTTGGGTTGGGTTGTAAAAAGTTTTGGGTTTGATTGAGACCAATCCGACCAACCCGAACTTTTGGGTTGGGTCAAAAAAAAGTCCTTAACCCAACCCGGACTTTTATACCGTAGATAAATAACATGGTTTGGTTTTTTTTTGTTTATGAAGGTTGGTAGGTTTGCTTGCATTTGGAGAAGGTTGGCACAATAACCACCATGCTTTTGAGTATTCAGCTAGATTTGGCATTGAATGGTGGGAATATGACCCTGGTTGGTACGTTATTAGGTTTCTTCAAGCCATTGGAGTGGCCACTCATGTCAAATCACCCTCACAAATTCACAAGCAAAGGCTTGTTATACACAAACCCGAAACCCCTTCCATTGGAATACAATGAGTTTTACGTTGAATTCATCATGTTTCTTATTTACAAGAGGCTTACCTTACCTTTTTAGCTTCTGTAGGAGGGCGTAAACCGTACTATGAATGTTTGTATGCTTTATTTTTTCTTAAATAATCGAACATTGAACTTTTTTTTTTTGTGTTAAAAGTATATGAATTATTGTGCAGCACTCTCTCACAGCATTGAGTGAGTCTAACCGTCTAGCCAACTTTGGATCTCACAGCATTGAATGAATCTAACCGTTTAGCCAACTTTAGATCGCGTTACCTATGTCCAATCCTCTAGCCCTGACCGAGAAGAGAATTTTAAAAAAGAGTTTAAAAACAAAGTTGAGTGAGAGATTGAAAACAATGTTATATAGCATCTAAGCAAAAAGACTACAACAACTTAAACAGTATATGACTATATGACTACAACTTAAACAAGATTTCAACATGTAACAGACATATGCACAACCATTACCGTATGGACAACATGCCTCATACAAACATGACACTATGCATCATGCAGATGTACAACCATTACATCATATAATCAAACACAAAACATACAATCCAAACAAATCATGCCTATCCAACTTAACTCTTAAGTAGGTTAAAAGAGTCGACCTACTTGTCATTTCGTATACTAGACTCTTTGGACTACGGAAAATCTAACTTGGGTCATTCGAGTTATGGGTCACAAACGAAACACTTCAATCTACACAAAAAAGAGAGCTATCCGGGGGATGCCATTAACTTCACTACAAAAGGCACCAATTCAATCAGAATCGCACGCCTATTAGAACAAGGGCTACAAGGTTTGGAGTTGAGAGAGAAGTGAATGCCTTACAACTCTAATCATGTCTGATAGGGAGACAACACCAAGAAGCAAACCATGTTCATCAATTACCCAAATTCTATGCACATGTTTTGACACCACCTTCTCCATCACTTCCTCCAACGAACTTTCCGGCTGACATGTAACCAGTTCTCTCCCGAACGCCACACTCCCCTCGAACAACGAGCTGTTTCGGACTGCATCGGTGAAGTCTAGCACCGACCGATGCAACCATGTCTGTAGCGTCGCGAGCTGACACCCCCTCAGATCGGTTGCCGAAAACGTCCCAACTAGCTTCATTCCTCTTCCCTGAAAGACTTAAACTATCAATTTGATCCCAAAAGAAGCAATTGAAATGAAGGGGAAGTGATAGGCATACAGTGAAAAGCTGTGTGTGGACATGGTCGCCGCCAACAATGGGGACTGCATTCAGGAAGCTAGATTTCATGCACTTAATTGCTTCTATAAGTTTGGTTTTATCTGTAATGGCCATAACATTCTCATTAATCCCTTCCATTTCCTTCACACTTTGTCTCAAAATCTCTTTAATTTCTGGTGCCTTTTCTCTAAGGAATCTCAACACATCCATTTGGGTCACCATCCTGTAACTCGTTGCCGACTCGACAAGCTTCACGCCCATGGCCTCCTCGACCTGCCCATCGATGGGCACCAGTGCCCTGTGGATCCCCTTGCTGAATATCTCCATACAATCTAATATGCTATGACAGCGGACTATGAATCAGCCTTCACATACTACTACACCTAAAAACTTACATTCAATTTTGAATATATTTTCAATTTAATCCCTAAATTTCAATATTTATGGCTAGTAGACTTAGTAGAATAAATTGTCGACCTTGTTGACCAAGTTTTGAGCTGGTCATGTTTTTAATTTGAGCTTGTCATGTGTTTTTGAGCTGGTCGTGTTTTTAATTTGAGCTTGTCATGTGTTTTCTCCACTAACATGTATGACTCTTTTCACCTCTCCAACCAAGAGAATTGAAAAGCCAAGTGTTCAAAGTTCCAGAAGATCTCTCCTTTAGTTTTTTTTGACATATTTGGATCGTAAAATTAAATCCTAACTAAAATGTTAAAAAAAAATGTTATTCAAATTATCTGAGATAAATTCAAGTCAAGTTGCAGTTAATGTCCATTTGGAAAAGAATCTAATTTCATTTAACTAAAATAAGCTAGGATTCATTTATTCTGTGATGGTTAGACGTCCTAACACGTAGATGATGATATCACTACCTCATACGGTCATAAAGTATTAAGGTTATAACTCTTAAAATGTGTTCGTGATCAAAAGTTTCATTTTAAGGCTAATAAATTATTAATGAATTTCAATAACAAAAGATTGAGAATGACCATTTTCATGTATTATCTAGTCTTATTATAGACTTTCAATCAACACAATATTATAAGAATTGACATCGACCAACCTGGTGTTAGGATTCAAAGTCCAGAGACTCAAACCCTCAACACTATGTCCAATTATCGACGATACCGGAACCGCCATCTTCCGATCGAGATCGAGCAGATCACCACTACTATCATGAACATCCTCACTGCCAGCAATATGAGCCAAGATATCAAGCATGGTGACCATCCCAATATAATGCTTTCTTACCACCCCACTGCTCTTATCAGCCTCCATGATCATGGAACCGCCAGCGCCGATCCAGTGGCCAGGCGGCGCAGCCACCGGAACAGCCACGACGCAGTTGGCGACGAGAACGTTCATTGTGTGAGCAAGAGAGGCGGTGTAGGGCACCTCCACCAGCCGCCTCCAATCCCTCATCAGATCTTTCACCTTCTTGTCCACCACCGCCTGAGTGTCGGGTTTCTTGGCCGTCGGTTGTTGCATTTTTCTTTGGTTGTTTTTGTGATTTGAGGATTTGAGGGATTTATTTATTTGGAGAGGGTTTTGTAGGTGTCGAGCTCTGGAGGGGATTCGTTTGCATGGGAGTGGTTTTGTTGACACGTACCAAAGCTTGGTATTAGAATTTGAGACCACCTTTTTTAAAAAAAAATCAAAACGGAAAACATAGAGAGGACAATATCGACTAGTGGTGGGTTTGGGGCCATTACAAATGATATCAGAGCTAGACACTAGGTGATGTGCCAGCAAGAACGCTAGGTCCCAAAGGAGTGGATTTGGTGGGGTTCCACATTAATTGGGAAAGGAACAAGTGTTAGTGAGGAGCTGGCCCCGAATAGGATGGATTGTCAAATCTCACCTAACTAAGCATTTTTTATAAGGGTGTGGAAACCTTTTCTGAGGATAAACGTTTTAAAAATCTTGAAAAAAATCTCAAAAGAGAAAACGTAAAGAGTACAATATCTCCCTAATAATTTGAGTCTCAATGACTATATATTACTAAACCAATTCCATTGTGGAAGGTTATGATTAGGAGGATGAAGCAGAAGCTTATACTATCCATTAACTTAGGGTTATGTTATTGACATCTCAAGCTAAGTGTATAATATTGGTAACAACCCATGTAACGCTTTATGACTCGAATTATAGGAAAATGTAACTAGAACTAGCGTAGATGCATAGCAGAGGATAAATAAGATTTAAATTTTTAACTTTTCTTACCTTATAAAATAAAATAATTAAAATGTAAATATTCACTTCTAATGAAATAAAACAATCACAATTATTTAACTCTAATTAAAAAAAATGGTATATTTAATTAAATTATAGGTTTTTTTAAAAGAAAAGTGGAAAAAACAGTTGGTATTTAAAAAATAAATAAAATAAACTTTAAATCACGAAGCAAATGGCGCCCTACAAATGCCATATTTTTAATCTCTTCAAAATTAAAATATTTAAATTGATAATTAAAAATTAATAAGAAGTTTAAAAAAAATAGGATATTAAAAAGCCCTCGTATTTAGGCCCATTAAACTTTGTCACGTGGGCCTGGCCCACTTAGTGGTAAGCTGTGTTGACAGGATTGGAATCACGTGATTGGTGGTATTTGATTTCCAAATATTCCTTTTCTTTTATTTAAAAATATATTCGAAGTTCATTAAAGTTAAGGTAATACATACGTCCGAATAATACACTCTAATTTATCACCATAAAACTCATACTTGAAATTTACGTCACCATAAAACTCTTTCTTCAAACTTACGTCCTAATAAAGCTCATACTTGAAATTCACTCCAAATTAATGCAATAATAACACGCTCACGCTGCAAAAATATCGGCTAATTGATTAGTAAACCTCACAAAATTAAGAATAAATGTTTAATCTAGAATGATGGGTACGATTTTTTATCAAATTAATAGCCTTGGTATTATAACATCTCATGCTCAAGATTCGGATCAGAATTTAGAATCTAGATTCAGCAACTAATTGCTGCAGCATTCCCCTGCGACATGGTTACATTTCTTATAAGAGTATAGAAACTTCTCTCTACTAGACGTGTTTTAAAACCTTTAGGGGAAGTATAAAGAAAATAATATTTGCTAGCGGTGGACTTGGATTGTGACAAGTGATATTAGAGCTAGACATCGAGCGATGTGCCAGCGAAAATGCTGGCTTCTAAGAGAGTGAATTATAAGATCCTTCATCCATCGGAAAAGACATTGTCACATGTATTAATAGTGAAAGTTTAAACTAATCTCATCTTTTGATTTAATAAAATTAAAAAGTTATCCACTTCACTTATATAATTATATAATTATACACTTAAATGATTTCACAAAAATTAATATTTGATTTAGCAATTACCTACCTTTCTCTCTCCTAATATCCAATCATTGAATAAAACTTTAAGCTAATTTCATCATTGCTATTAATCAATTATTAATAGTGTAACCAACATGATGTAATATATTATATTGATAAAATAAAAAAAGTGTACAAATCCAAATATGATTTTAAAAAAAAAATGTTCTATGATGGAAGAAAAAATAAATAGGTAGTAAAATACAGAAACAGCCTTGAGATACTGTCCCAAAATACATTTTTTTCTTATAGATGATTCACACAAAAAAGGCACGAGAGAACGCTTACAACTTTAATCTTCTTAGAATTGAGAAGCTAAAATGTCCTTCGAACCATATTAACTTGATGGTATTTTGAACATCCGAGACTCAAATTTATGCTTCGCTTCACTGGGTTTGGTTTCTTCAAATGATGCCTTTTTTATTATAATGTTGAAAGCTTGATTTAATATTAAATGTTGAATTTCTATATATATATATATATATTTAATATGTATGTATGTATTTGTTTTTTTTTTTTCCTAATAAATAAATAGTTTTTAAACATTAAGTTGTAATATTAATTATATTAAATATTATGTCATATTTTTTTTAGAAAACATTTTTAGATTTGCCCATAGATATCTCTGGCTGTGTTTTCAGGTGGAGGGGCGGCGATTGGAACTTCCATAGTGGCCATGACGGTGTGTCGCCGGAGAGAAGGGGCGGAGAGGAATCCGGGGGGGAGGAGAGGATGAGGGAGAGAGAGGAGAGAGAGGAGAGAGAGAAATTATTTTCATAAATATATTTTTTTGAAAACCAAACGCACCGAAAACATGGAGATTAAAAATATTATTTTCCCATATTATTTGAAAATAAAAAAAAATGAAATTGTTCTCGAGTCGTTACAGTTAAGAATTTGAACACAACACAGCTGGAAATTTGAAAATTACAAACCAAAAAGAAAAGAAAAAAAGAGAGAGAAAGTCAGACATGGAGGCGTGAAGAAGACTACAGGAGGCCATCTCTCTCTCTCTCTCTCTCCTCGTTTCTCTCTCTATAAATCGCTCTGGATCGCCCCTGTCTCAATCTCTCTGTCTCCAAAGCCTTACATTCGGCGAACTTTTTGACACCCAAAATCAAAATCAAAATCAAAATCAAAACCCCATTTCTTTTTTCCTCTTTTTTTCAAATGATTGTTTCTTCCTCCTTCGCTTCACGTTTCGCATCTCTCTCTTCTCCGTTGTTCAGACTGTGAGCAAATTAAGAAAGCGGAAGCTTAGTTTATTTACAGAGTAAGTGGGTTTCATGGCCTTTCGCCTAATGTTCTGCTGTGGAATTGGTTCGGATCGGTACGTTTACTTGATCAATATATTTAGCTTCTGGGTTGAGATTAGAATCTGTTTTTGTCTCTCTTTTTTTTTTTCCTGAAAATCCGATGTGTCATTGGATTCCAATTGTGGGCTCGGGCTGACTTTGAGTTTGTGAGAGATTGTTCAAACTTCATTGGGGAATTTTATCAAACACTTTGTGGGCATGATGTCTTTGGGGGAATGAGTGATGAGTTTCTACATGTTCAAGTTGAATTTGGAATAACATAAAAAGTTTTAAGTGAATTTTACTTCATTTTGTTGATCTGATTCCAAAACTGTATGATTTGATTTGGTTTTTCTGTTTGTTCCCCTGATCCTGGCTCGTATGATAGAAAGATTTTGTAACTTTTTAGGATGTTTTTGTTTGTTGACTGTTCTATTCTGCAGGAAAGAAAGAGGGAAGAAACAGCAAACATGGAGGGTGTTTTCATTGAAGGAATTACACTCGGCCACAAATAATTTTAATTACGATAACAAGCTTGGAGAAGGAGGATTTGGTAGCGTTTATTGGGGTCAGCTGTGGGATGGATCACAAGTAAATATGCCTTCATTTTTCTTGTTTTATCCTATCAATTCATGTGGCGTAGACTTGTTTTAAATTTGGGATGTTCTTTTTCAATTTGTTTCAAGGAAATTGTGCTAGCTTTCTTGGTTGTTTCAAACTTGCCGAGTCGTTTCAGCTCCGTTTAAATGCTTGTTTCATTAGTTTTAAATTACTAGTATGCCGATCGATCAAGCTAAGATCTTGCTTGTTCTGAATAATCTATTGAATGTACTAGAATTTTTGAACTTCATATATGTTCTTTGTATCATGTAAAATCTTCGAAATGTTCGTCTTATGATTGTGAAAGGACGGTGACCAAGGCTGTTCGGTACGGCTTCTGTCAATAAGATTCTTCTCTTTTTCTGTTTCGTTATCTTACCATGCCAGCAGAATGTTACTACGACTGTTTGGGACTTAGAGAGAATGAGTTCAAAGTCATGATAACCACCTACCAAAGATTTAATATCCTATATTGGGAACCAAATGTTGTAGGGTCATCTAGTTGTCCCGTGAGAATAGTTGAGGTGCTGACTCGTCACTCATCTGTGACAGCTCTAAAGGTTTAGAATTTTGAATTTGTTGAAGCTAGGATTGCAATAAGTTGTAGTAACGTATACTTTAGCTTGAGCCACTTGAGCGTTCGTGATGAGTTAATACCATGAAGTTCAAAGAGGGAATATTGTTTGTAAATTAATCTCCTCCTTCGCATAATTCAAGGATTGAAATACCTTATACCATGTTGACTGTGAGAGGCCACCTCTCACATTAGTTGGAGAGGGGAACGAAGTATCCTTTATAAGGGTGTAGAAAACTCTCCCTAGCAGACGTGTTTTAAAACCTTGAGAGGAAGCCCGTTAGGGAAGTCCAAAGAGAACAATATTTCATATACCATGTTGACTGTGATATCCCACAGCGGTTGGAGAAGGGAACGAAACATTCTTTATAAGGGTGTGGAAACCTCTCCCTAGCAGACACGTTTTAAAACCTTGAGGGGAAGTCAGGAAGGGAAAGTCTAAAGAGGACAATATCTCATATACCATGTTGACTGTGAGATCCCAGAACGGTTGAAGAGAGGAACGAAGCATTCTCTATAAGGGTGTGGAAACCTCTCCCTAGCAGACGCGTTTTAAAACTTTGAAGGGAAGCCCAGAAGTGCAAGTCCAAAGAGGACAATATCTACTAGCGGTGGACTTGAGCGGTTACAGTATTTTAGAATTTTAGAAACAGCA